ATGCACCTGGTAGCAAATAAGCAGTGCATACTAGCTCAGCCAAGTTTGCTTAAAATTGCTCCTTCTGTTCTTTTAGAGGTTTCTTGTTCGAATGCCATGTTATCCGGACATGGGCTTGAATATAGTCAACTTACGAATTGGCCTCCCAGTCTTCGTCAGTAACCACTTATGTCCTACCATCGAGCGAAGCCAGTCCCCTTTTATATATGAAGACATCGTTCAGGCTCCGGTTGTCAGTGTTTTTGTGTTTTCAGCCGTCTTTTGCTTAGCATTTACAACCGTTGATAGGACCTTCCCGGACGGATGTTTAGAAAACGTCAAAGTTCGCGGCCAATTTGGAAAGCTCTCCAGGAGACTTTTTTTGAGAGGGGTGGGGGGTTAGTGAAAACTCCAATAGGGGCACCGACCCATTCGCGACACTCGGAATGCTCGCTGTGGGTTAGCGACTCGTTTTGTTGCTGGTGAAGGTTCAGCAACTTGTGGTTGCGTCCGGCTGCACAGTTAGATTAACAATACTCCCATTCATTCATGATAACGACCGTTTTTATCGTCGTCGTCCACGCCGCCCCATGTTATTAATTAGTAGGCTCTCCTACTAATTGATTTGTTTAGTGCAAAAATTACCGGTACACATTATCGGTTTGGTAGTGAGAGATATTTTTTGGTCTTATAGTATGTTCCACCGCTAAGAGTCCGGGTGTAGGTAGACTGGAACCTGTTCTGCTACCAGTATAATACTGCGATTTTATGTTGCCTTCCGAATTCAGTCGTGTTTCCACACCGTTTGTTTTAGGTAAGCTTATTCAAGAAGGAACTCACGATAGCGTTGAGGATGCCAGAGCGGCCATGGAGCTGTACAAGATTGCTACCCAACATAGGCGGTGCATACATCCAGAGACCCGGGAAAGTGTTTTGGAGAACCTGCAGTCAGCTATTCGTGGCTTTTTTTTCTACATCCAAAATCTCGCCTTTCTTTTCTTTCTGTTAGGTTTCTTGCATTACTTGTACTTTCCGAAAGAGACAATATGACCATAGCCAACCACCACAGACTTTCATCTTTGATGCCCAGATAGTTTAGACGACAAGTGCATATATTTCCTATGGATACATACTTCTACTTTGAATATATACCGTTTTACTTCACTCAACAAACCTCTGCGAAAGAGGCAATCTTTGGGGTTTAACAAGTGGGAGGACCCTACCAATTTTATGTTGATCCCAAGCTTTTAATCGAGGATAACAGTCATAAACTGATCGGATCATTTATTTCGAAGCCGTTGGCTTATTTGTAGATAAAAATGGCACTTTGTACACAGTTCATCGGTTGAAAACGCGCAAGGTAAGGAGGTGAATGCTAGAGGGAACGGGAGTTCGCTACTGGTGTGTCGAACGCGACTGACATAATTATTCGGCCCACTTGCCGGGACCGGCATCAGGCAAGACCTTGGAGACGACACCATAGCCCATGGTCGCGCCCCCACAGCGCATCGTGAATCGTTGTCCGGGCTCCAAAAACTACACGAAAAGAGAGGAGTTGTAGTGCGTTAACGCCGTAAATTGCAAATTAACATCAGTTTAGTTCTATTAAGCGAAAGATAAGCGAACGCCCTTGAACTCCCCTTTGGTTTCAAATTGGCGAAGAAAAGCATTGATACAGAAGAAAATTTCAAAAAAAGGTTAACATAATTGCAGGCGAAAAGTGAGCAGCCGTCAGGTAGTCCAGAAGGGTAAGCAGGCATGACTACTCAGTTTCTACGAGTAGTACTATTACAAATGCTTGTTCTACCTATGCAGATTAGCCTGCAGTTGGCAAGTGAAATGCTTGATGCATGTCCAGTTTGTTCTTAAATACAGTTATGCAACTCCTTGTTCGTCTTCGAGTCTGTACTCCTACCAAGTGG